GCTCAACGAGTTCTACATTGAGCAATTGTGTGAACGGCCAAGGCCCGCCGGTCGCTCAGGATCTTCTTGGGATAATATCTTGTCTACTTACCGCATAGGCTTTCAAGCCCACTTGCAACGCCTCACGACTGTTGAAGAAGTTTGGACTTTCGCTGAAAAGTGTTTGCGCAAAGAGCACCTAAAGGAAGCCTTCAGAGACCTGGGATTCGAAGACGTGTGGAGCAGTGCGATTCCACAGTCGCTGCAGAGTGCATCTGTGCACCCCTCGGCCGAGTGCGAGCGAGACATCGAGGTCCAGGACAGGCCCTTCCCGGAGCCGAGTGCTGAAGTGTTTGAGCAACATTTGATACCAGGCACCGCCGAGGTTGATTTAGATTGCAGACCTTTCAGTTGTGCATTGCGTGAAGCCCAGCAGGAGCCAATAGATCTTGATTGAGTGTTTTCTTGATTTTGGGCTTCCAAGATGGCGAGTGCAAGTGCAGGCGCAGACATAAGTGATGATGAGGATCCAGAGTTGGCCACCGCGCCCGATCCAGCAGCTACCAATCCCTTCAGCCCCGCGGGCAGCGCGGGCAACATGCTGACCTTGAGTCAAGGGGACCTGGTGCTGATGATGAGGCAGATGATGGAAGTGAGTCAGGCTGCAAATAGCGCAGCACAGGCGGCTCTTGCCGCCACGCGATCTTCCGATCGAACGGGGCTAGCCGGGTCCGATATGGCTCGGTTGCTCCCGAAGCCAGACATCTTCAAGCCACCGAACAGGGAGGCAGAGCATGGAGAGTGGAGCTCTTGGCTGTGGACGCTAAAGCAATACCTTGGGGCGTTAGATGCAAGCTTTACAGATGAGCTGTTGTTTGTCGAGAGGAATCCGACTAGGGATTTGACNNTTGAATCGGAGAGGCGTTCGAAACAGCTTTTCGCGCTTCTTTCGAGTCTTGTAAAAGGCAGGGGCTTGCAGATAATCCAGCGGATTCCAGTGCAGAACGGCTTTGAGGCCTTGCGCCAGTTGGTGCAGTTGTACCAGCCTGCATCCAAGACGCGCTCACTTGACATCCTCAGCGCGTTGACTAGCATGGGCCACTTTCGTGCCGGTGAACCGTTGCTTCCGCAGGTTCTTGAAATGGAGAGG